GAGTTAAAGCATTTTACTGGCATCTGCTGTGGGCTCCAGAACTACTGCTTGTAAGAAAGACACAGACTTTTTACTGAGGTCTGTAGTGACAGGACAAGGGGTAATGGTCTTATACTGAAAGAGGGTAGGTTTAGACTGGGCCTAAGGAAGAAATTCTTCCCAGTGAGGGTGGTGAGGCAGTGGCAGGGGTTGCCCGGAGAAGCTGTGGATGTCCCATCCCTGGAAGTGTTCAAGGCCAGGTTAGATGGGGCTTTGAACACCCTGATCTAGGGACATATGTCCCTGCTCACGGGGACATCAGTTTATCCAGCTAACCAGGGATTTGCATCAGATCAGAGCCCACCCCAATACCAATGCCAAATGTTCAGAGCCCATAAACCCATGGCAGACTTATCCAGAACTGGTGTATTCAACACCAGTGGGACCATCTCTGCATCTCCCAGCGCTAGCCCAGTGTTTCAGAACAGCACTAATTCCATAAAGGTTAGTGATGGAAACCCTGTTCATTAGTGGGTCTGCTTTCACAGTTGAAGGCTGCTAGTTTGAGACACTCATCAGTTGAGACTTGGAGAAAAATTCCTTCTTTTCTGAATCCAAGAGAAAAATAAAGGGCTCACAAGCAGCCTCAAGCTCAGAGCAAAGCCAGTCGGTTCAGAGGGACCTCAAAAAAGTAGAACAGAAAAGAGGTGGGGTTAACACAATGTCTGACAATGCTTCGCTCTAAGAAAAACTGAAGAGTGGAACTGAAGCTATGAGGAACCTTTGAACATGGACTGCTGGAAAAAAAAAACCCACCCTGATCTAGGGACATATGTCCCTGCTCACGGGGACATCAGTTTATCCAGCTAACCAGGGATTTGCATCAGATCAGAGCCCACCCCAATACCAATGCCAAATGTTCAGAGCCCATAAACCCATGGCAGACTTATCCAGAACTGGTGTATTCAACACCAGTGTATTCAACACCAGTGGGACCATCTCTGCATCTCCCAGCGCTAGCCCAGTGTTTCAGAACAGCACTAATTCCATAAAGGTTAGTGATGGAAACCCTGTTCATTAGTGGGTCTGCTTTCACAGTTGAAGGCTGCTAGTTTGAGACACTCATCAGTTGAGACTTGGAGAAAAATTCCTTCTTTTCTGAATCCAAGAGAAAAATAAAGGGCTCACAAGCAGCCTCAAGCTCAGAGCAAAGCCAGTCGGTTCAGAGGGACCTCAAAAAAGTAGAACAGAAAAGAGGTGGGGTTAACACAATGTCTGACAATGCTTCGCTCTAAGAAAAACTGAAGAGTGGAACTGAAGCTATGAGGAACCTTTGAACATGGACTGCTGGAAAAAAAAAACCCACAACACCCACTGTCACGAAAGTTGCCTGAAGTTAAGGAGGAGATGCTTCCTCTGTTCTTTACAGGAAGGGAACTCCTAGTGGGATCTTTCTTCATGTTTTTTCATTTGACTTACTCCCTGTTCCCTTTCTCCACTCCCCTTGCGAAAGGTTAAGACGCTTGCTGATGGATTGGAGAATGACGTAAGTAACGGGAAACTGTTACCACAGGGTCCTGCCTCTCAATCCCAGGCAGTAAGAACAGTTTAAGGCTTTTCTCATTTTTACACTCTGGCTAACAGGAGGCACAAGGGTCCCCAAACACAAGCAGCATGGCGAAAGTGAAATTAATATAATTTGATGAAAACAAGCTCTTTCTAGGAGCATAGGAAAGAACAGTTGGTAAGTTACAGCACGAGAACTCTGTTTCGTCTCATTTACAGACGGTGGAGCAGGTTCCCGGGTAGTGACCTCGACTCGTACGACTGTAGGAGCAGCAGCTGCCCACGGTGTTCAGGAGAACACCCAGACTTCCAGGAGGTAGCAGGGCAGCTGGCAACAGCTACAGCTAACAGCAAGCTGGGCACTGCACCAAGCCCCTTGCAAGACTACGGTGCTCTTCTGAAGAGCTTCCTAAAGCTCAGCAGAACAGGAGGTGCCCTGCTGCCGTCCATGCCACACGGATTGCGTCCCGTTGTTACAGCACCGTTGAAGTTTACCTACTGTTCTTGTCTAACGGAAGGAGTCTTTTCCATTTTGTGTCTTTGTGTTCCCAGCTTCCTGCATATTTGCATTGCGTCTCTAGTTTGCCAGCCTCTTCTACCTCTCTTAAAAGGTTCATACCTCTGCCGCTATTGAGATCAGGTAAACCTGGCTCACCCATTCATTTTAGGTAACATTCCCATGACACTGAAAATTCCTGGATTTAAGTTTTCGATATAAACACAAGACATGCACTGCAAGTTTTCAAATCTTTCACCTGAAACAGGGCCTATAGAATATGAAGGGAATCCACATCTGCTTTTAAGAGTTGCTGATTCCCAATAAATATTGCTATATAAAATGCAATTAACCAGTAGACCTAGAAGAATCAATAGGCTTATCCTTGAACCCAGAGAAAAGAGGGTGTGTTTTGCAGAAAAACACTATTTATCCCAAAACTTAAAAAAATTACAGGAAAAGACAAATCTCAGTTATCTCAGAAAGGTTAAAACTACCTTAAGCCTTTACCTAAATTTCTTACCTGAACAATTCTTTAAAACCTTTCTGCTTACCTCCCCTTATTGCTTCCCTCTGTACTTACTTTCCAACATGTCTTCACTTGTAGTTGTGGAGAGCATAGCTGTAACAAACCTAAGTTAAAACTGAACTTTTGTGAAAAGCAAACAGTGTGCCATCCCATAAAGTCATCATCTTGATGAGCACTAAAGTGATGAATACTGAGAGATTATCTTCATGTAGGTCTTCACTGAATGCACTAAACAAAATAACCAATGAATATTTCCCACTTACTTTTCTTCCTAATAAATGCAGCCAAATGTTTTGTTCATATTGTCGTGTCTTTGCAACAGCCAGGAAATGAAAAATACTGTAGTAGTAGTAGATTGGTGCAGTACTATTAAAGACCTAGACTTTGTTTCCAGAAAGACCTAAAGCCCAAATAATCCGATTGCTCTTCGCAAAATAGCCATTCTAAGCATAGAACAAATAGCAGCATAGTTTTATATTAAAAATGACTGTGCTTTCCTCCTATTTTTCCTCTTAAGCAGCTAGTATTTTGCTTGATTGACTAGAGTTATCCTCTATTGCCAGTTATTCACCACTATTGCCCGTAATATCAAATTTATTTCTTGTGGAACAGAAGTCCTCAGGAGAGATCGCCAATTTAAAAGACTAGTATGTATATTAATTCAATACCCTTCGTGAAATTTCATTCTTCCTGGTGATGAATTAGTGAGATTTTGTAAATGATAGAAAGAAACCACCTTGTTTGTTTCTTAAACGGCACGTCCTCTTCGTTACTACCAGAATACCAGAGCACGGAAAGGATTCAGTGGTAACTGCAGAGCGGTGGAAGCACCAAGTCCTTCCTGGCAGTTCTACATTACCCAGCGGAGCGTTTTGGTTCTTGCTCAGTGAAAAAAAGTGCTTGTGCTGCTCTAAAGACTATGCAGCTTCCTCATACTTCTTCATTCCAGCTCCTAAATGAACAATTCTCATTCTGATTAGCCACTTTCACATACCATCAAGCCAAGCAAAATTGGGTCAAAAGGCCCCATATACACCAGGAGCATTTTAATTAAAACAATATGGATTAAGGCAAATGGAAGACAGAACGTTGTGGGTTTTTGGTTCCCCCTCCCCATATCTCCAAGGATGTGAGATGCCATTAAGGCAGAGTACATATGATTAATCCTTGATGAAAATTTAAAGCTTTAGGTTTCTTTAGAAAGGGACACTAGGCCTTTTGTTATAAAGTCACTGTACAGCAAGGCAAGAAAGGTAACAGAGCAACAGTCCCAAGTGTAAGACAAGCCTAAGCTAGGAATGTGTAAGACAGCATTAAAAGTGCTGTAACCCTTGACAGTGGTAAGCTTTTCTATTTTTAACAGTGGACTAGGTAAAATGGTATCCCACTAAAATAAATACTGCAGGTGTTTAGGTGTTGCTGCAGAAAAATGTCAACTATTTATCAGTACAGTTTTAAAGACAAATTTTAAAAAAAAATATTTGGGCAATGTGTGTAAGCCAGTCATACTTGAGGGGTTTTTAATAAAAATTAAATACTGCACTTTTATGGTCTACAACTTTTTCATTCTGAGCTGTACCACCTAAGAAGTCTGAAGAAATCGGGATGCCACTATATTACAATGAAAAATGGGTTTCAGTCAGCTTTTCTGATACCGGTTTGGTAGTCTGCAGGAAAACCTGACCAGTAAAGTGAGTATTTGAAGTTTTACTTATATTTAAGCATGAATTATAAAATAAGAGTTGTCTAAAAGGACTTAAGGTGCAGAATCACCCTCCATTCCCCTAGATGAAAATCATTTATTTCCCACTTCTCTCTCCTTTATCTGAAGTTAGACATGAACCAGCTGTCTTAAAGTAAGGGTTTTGAAAGTTACTGGAAGTTACATGTCACAAACCGCTTTGACTGAAACACGAAGACCACTCATTCACTGTCTTCATGGCATCTTCGTAAATCACCGATGCAAAAGATACCACAACCATCTTTTGATAGGATTTGGCACAGACGGAAAAACAGGTGGAAAGACAACCTGATGTGAACAGCACCGTCAGTGGCTCAGTGGGCCGACAGTGCCTCTCTGCAGTGTACACGTAGTGCCTTTGGACAGCGGGCCTCATCTCATTAAAGGTGAAAAGGACAAAATGTAAAATGTACTCTCCATTACTGCAGTGGCATTACTGACAGGAATAGTTGTTATGGGACAAGCACCTGTGTATCTCAGGCAAGAGGAAGAAAAAAAAAATCATTGAGATGTAGTTATTCTAGATCCACAACAGGTAGCTCAACCACATTCGCCTACCTTTTGGACAAAATAACAAAAGACAATAGATTTTTTTTTTTTTTATAAAGGTCAGCTTGTATTGAAAATATCTCTGTAAAATCACCTGTAATACTACAAGGTAGTACCATACAAAACAGGTCAATATTAACTTTCTTTAAACTGTTAAACTTTATTATAAATTAAAATTTCTTTACAAAAAATTGCACATAATTGACCACTCTTAGGTTCTGATGCACTGGCATTTGCAATAGTTTCTTTAATCTTCAAGTTTAATAGTCTCTGCCGTGAGTCCAATGCAGAAAAGGGCAGTAAGCAACCCTCTTAAAGCCTTCAAGTGCAAGAAGCATACTTGTGGCCACGGCAGTTACACTTTCCTTAAGAGCGGCTGGCTTTGTTTTAAATCCTGTAATGAAAAAGGCTCAAAAAAAGGTTTAAAAAAAGGAAAAACCCAAAATGGACTACTTGCTTTTTACTGTAAACACAGCCCAGTAAATTAATCCCAAACACAGATCTCTCCGGCATCAGCGAGAGTGTCAAGTGAATCAGGAACAGCAAAACAAAGAAAACAGAAAATAAAAAGAAAACATAAAAAAATAATGTCTGTCATTTTGATTAACTATACTTACGTAGATGACGTTATGAGAATCTGGCAGGGCCCAGAAGCAAGGCCAGACAGGGAGTTCGTTTTTCCCGAGGAGGGTCATGTTAATTGTTTCCAGGTTCAAGGAAAGCAGACTGGAGACTCGATATGCTCAGCAATACTCATCTGCCTTACACAGATCTTAGGCACAGATCAGCCTGAAGAATCATTCAACTGATTTTGGCATTTAATAGGACTTATGGCTGACCGTACCCAGCGTTCAGTGATTCTTGCTTTCTGTTCTGTAAGTGTTTAAATTTAAAAGCTCATCTAGGCTGACTCCAACCTCTTGGCACTTGGAAACTAGTTTTCTCAGGTTATCAGTTTTACCTCCTCCTGATGCTTCAAACAAGAGTTGCTGTAAGAGATGGGGAAGCAGATATAAGATTTAGCCAGAGCTTGAGCATCACCACATCTATGGATATGGGATATGCAGAAAATTTATATGAAACCTCAAACTGAATCATAAGGAGAAAACATTACATCTTTCCACAGTGTTGCACATAGAGGTAACTTCTGAACGGCTCTCTGATATAAATGATGGACCTGTAAAATAAAAACAAGTATTAAAAGTCAGCACGACTTTGTGCACTCAAAATGAGTGATCTGAAGCACAAAAATCTCTTGCAATAATTTTTTTTAATCTGTTTTTTTAAAAAGTTTCAAGTCAAGCATTACATTGCTACTAAAAGCAAAGGCAAGTTTATGTCTGACCTTAATTCTGACCCTTGTATGCACATGATTAATTACATGAGGACATTCTATTTTTCTTCACAAAACTCTTGCCTCATTCATTGCACAGGATGGAACACGCTCAGGGAAGGAAGCAGCTTACTGAATATTTCTCTTTCACCACTCAATATGTAGTCTCAAGGTCTTGCTTATTGCATACCAGCCCAACCCTGCAATGAGGTATTTGTTGGCATTAAATACTTGTACCCATTTTTATCTTCTTTTAGCAAACCTTTACATGACCTCTGAAGGGAATAAATGACTGGTTCTCCAGGAACAGGAAATCCAGAATCTGAATCACAATTCAATTTTAAAACAATATCCTACTTGTGTACTAGAAAGCCCAGTTATCTGGAACCTATTTGTGTAAACAGTTCTAAGTGCTGACTACATCCCAAACTAAGCCTGCCCCAAAAAAACCAACTGCTCTGTGCATGCCTAATGAAGTCACTTTACTCCACACCATACAGTTAGTCAAGTGGCTGCAGAAGAAAACCACAAGATTTCTTCTGGGTGTAATCCAGCTACAATGTTTTACATATGCCTTCATTCTAATTGGTTGGTTCATTTTCTTTAAGAACACTCTTTGATTCATTTGAAACATATTTTTCTAACTTAGTAACTAAACAAGGCAAGGATCTTTTAAGTCACCAGCCTCACTATAGGCAGTGCCTTTAAAATGCAGTCCATCTAATACAATGACTGAAGCAGGGATCTGTGACTAATTACAGATTACACCAAACCATCATCACAGAGACAGAATTAAGGTTGAATAGGCAACCATGCCTTTGATATCTCCTGACTTTGAACTATTTGATCTTACAAACCAAATAACTGTCTGCTTGGG